GTCATGGGCAGGCTGGGGCCTATCCCAGCTACCACAAGTGGGATACACCCTGGGCAGAAACGTGGATTTCAGTATTCTGATTTACCAAGATTTCTGCATCTCCTGGAATGGGCTCCATCCAATTTTGGCACTTTGACTCACTCGTGTTTAGGGATGAACTGATCATGTTGGTCAAAGCGTCAGGTGACTTCACAGTAAAACAAAAGTTTAAGGCTGATTAAGTTCAAGACATGAGCCAACAGGGTGAGTGGGTGCCCCATCACCATGGTGGTTAGCACTGTTGCCTCACAGCAAGGTCTTGGGTTTGAATCCACTGGCTGATGAGTTTGCATGCTCTCCCCGTGTCTGGGTTGGTCTCTCATGACACTTAAGAATTCCTCCCAAAGTTCAAAAGTATGCAGGTGTAGCCTACCTCTCACCTGACAGCAGCAACAGTCTTCAGCACAACTACAACCCTGTATGGGATAACTGGAAGAAGACGGCTTTGACTCTTTGTCTCTACTTATGAGTTTGAAAAATGACATTTTGCTCTGATCTTGGTGTTCCACCGTTTTTCTTGTGTGTACCCGCTGTAAGGAAATCTTTTTAGCGAGATATTTTTCTGTTTCATTTTCACCTGTTTGGATTGCAGATGGTGTGATTTGTGTAAACAATGCCCTTCTGTAGGGGGGAGCTAGAATAGCCCTAAATGTGATGTCAAGATCAAGACCTGATTCACACAGATCTGGTCCACTTCTACACTTTCAATCACATCTGTAACAGGACAACCCACTACAAGCTTTCTCCAGAAAGGTCCATCTATGCCCCATGAAGTTAGTTCATATCTTTAAAAAGAAAAAAAAAAGAAAAAGAAAGAAAAGGATGATGCAGGAGTCCAGAGTATAAAGAAACTTTAATTGTTGGATTAAGAACAACCGTCACAATTTGAGGACTTATATATTTTAAAAAAAGAAATGTGCAATGGCATTTCAACCCTTGAGGTTTTTCATTTAAGACACGTTTCAGGTAAAAATAAACTAGGAGCACTGAAACCGCATAATGCTTGTGTTATACAGCTGTATTAAGCTTATAGTAAATGTATAATAAGAATTATGGATGACCA